TGGAGGTTCAAAGAACTCCTCTTCTTCAACGTCTGACAGCTCACTACCATCAGACTGTGCATTTCTTTCAGGTAATAGTGCAAAAATGCGGTTACACCTAGCCCGTTGAAGTATCTATGGACAATAAAATAAAAAAACATATGAAACCAAAAACCAAACCCAAGCAAAAATAAAACAAAAGACACCATAACACGAAAATACTACATAAAACATCAGGCAAATTCATAAATCAGATATTAATCTTAGATTTGGCGGGGCGGGATTACTCACACAGCCATAAAATATAGTATTATGTATTAGTATTAGTATATAATATAACTTTAAACGTCAAGCATTGTTTTACTAAGTTTTGACGGTGTATCCCCTCAGATACAGTATTATGTTACACAACTTAGCCGGGTTTTTGGCAATGTATCTGTGTGGATACAATTAGGTTAGAATACATACTAGGGCCTAGAAAACACATTTCAAGACAAGATTTTTATCGAAATCATTAGTTTAGTTCAATACAAAAACATTGCAACAAATATTTCGTGTCAAAAACTATAAAAATACAGATAAAATCGATATTACTTACGGATGGGTTGCTCCCATGACGTGACATCTTCGCAGAATAACATAACTAGGGATGGGAATGAGTCGAAAATGCAGTTTATAGTTTTTATAGTGTTGTTACTTAATCCATCTTTAACATAAAATCGATCGATTTCAAATAAAATGTTTATATATCGCTGAAGATTTTTTTTAAATGATTGTATCTTACAGTACACATTACCAAATTAAGGGTTAATGGAAGCTCGCTTCAAGATGTAGCCGGGCTAACTATGACAGCAGGACGTCAAACACCTCAGTCCCCCGTGACCACGGGTGCTGGAAAGCACCCGAAACGTCGGGAATATAAAAGTAGATTAATATACGCGATAAAATCCGTAAAATTAGTTTTATTTAAAATGTGTAGTGTTCGCGTAAATATAAGAAATCATTAATTTCGTTATTTTATTAATGTTATTTATAATATAGCTGCCAATTTAAATCTAAACACAAATCTATGCAAAAAAAACAAAATATTAGAACAATATAACTGGAATCGTATATAAAGTATTATTTAAAGATACTACTTTATCTCTCTTCCTCGTAAGTGTTATTCAGCAAGTTGTGAAACTGTTATAGGCTAAGTGTATTAAAACATAACATAACATAAACACTCACGCCTGTCACCCAGAGGGGTAGGCAGAGACTATGGACTTCCATTTGGCGCGGTCCTGACACACCTCTCTCGCCTCTTTTACATCCATATATCTACGCATACACGCTCGTCGGTTATGGGTACTCCTAATCTGGCCCATTTTTAATGTATCGCCGATTTGGTCGATAAACCTTCGTCTAGGGCGTCCCTTCCCGACACTGCCGTTCACTTCCGCAACATAAATTTGCTTTGTCACTCTTTCCTCGTTCATTCTTTCTACATGACCAAACCACCGAAGCATTCCTTTCTTAATCCTTGTTACAACGTCATCTTGCAAACCACACTTTTCTCTTATCACACTATTTCTCACCATGTCATTCAGATTCAGCCCTAGCATACTCCTTAAGGAACGCATTTCTACAGCATTTATTCTACTCTCATGCTTCTTCTGCCAGACCCAACTTTCACTACCATACATTAAGGTAGGGACTAACACAGCATTATGAATTGCCATACGTGCCTTAGTTGACACATTCTGACTCCTCATAATAGCGTGTAAAGCCCCATTCACTCTATTTCCTGCGTTCACTCGTCGTTCTATATCCTTATCATATCTACCATCCCTGCTAAGTAAACATCCCAAATATACAAACTCATCAACTTGCTCAATCAACTCCCCTTCTATTCTTATTTCACATAAAGTTTTACTTTCTTCTCTTTCAAAAACCATCACTTTCGTCTTACTTGCGTTCACTTTCATACCCCTTTCTTTCAATGACGAATTCATTAAAGTAACCATCATTTGCAACTCGGCCGCCGACGATGCAAATATGACTTGATCATCGGCGTACAAAAGGCATTTGACGGTTGACTCACCCATTCTCAACCCACATTCTTCAACTTTCAAAGTTTGCAAACAACTGTCCATAAATAAGTTAAACAGCCACGGGGAAGCCACACATCCCTGTCTGACACCTTTATGAATGCCAAACCAGTCCGAGTAGACCCCGTTGATCCTGACACAAGCACTAGAGTCCCTATAAAGAGATCTTAATGCCTGTATCAAGCCAGCGCTCAACCCAAATGAGTTCAGTGTTTGCCATAACACATTCCTGTCCACTCTGTCATAAGCCTTTTAAAAGTCCATGAACGCACAAAAAACTTTTTGGTTTTTAGCCAAAAACTTCTCCGCTATCATGCGCATGGAAAAGACTTGATCCGTACACCCCATCCCCTTTCTAAATCCAGCTTGCACATCCCAAATTTTTCCATCAGTTTCTTCCATAACTCTTTCAATTAACACCTTAGCATACAGTTTACCCACAATACTAAGCAAGCTGATACCACGGTAGTTTTTACAGTCCTGCTGCGACCCCTTTCCCTTATATATTGGGACTATAACGGCTTTGCACCAGTCTTCCGGTACCCGTTTCAGTTCCCAACATAAATTAAACAAGGTGTGCAGCAGGCCTGTAACCACACCCTCACCAGCCCTTAGCATTTCGAGTGATACTCTATCATATCCGGCTGCCTTACCTGCTTTCATGCTTTTCATTGCTTTCATTATTTCATCTACACTTATCTCACTACCTCTCTCCACTTCTTCCGGAATTTCTATTTCACTTATTCCAGACGACTCTTCACTCTTAAACACGCTTTCAAAGTATTCCTTCCATCTCTTTAAATTCGAAACTTCATCATTCAGCATGCAGCCATTCTCGTCTCGTATAGCATTTATTCTAGGCTGTTTTGAATTTCCCCTGGCAGTTCTTACGAGCTTCCAGAACATTTTAATATTTGCCTGGAAGTTATCAGATATCCTTCTATCATTCTTATCTATCCTTTCTTGCTTTTTCCTTTCAACAACTTCTTTTACTCTCTTATTTATACGTCTAAAGTCTGCCTTTTTTCTTTCAATCTCATCATTCATACCGCCAGAATTACCAGCTTTAGTTGCTAGTAAATCTAGCCATGCTCTCTTCTTTGCTTCAACTTCCATCCGTACCTCATCATCCCACCACAACGTATTACTTTTCCTTTCATTCGTTCTCTTACTTACACCGCATACTTCGGTGGCTGCATCCACCAAAACTTTTTTAATATTATTCCATACATTCTTCAATTCTAAATCATTCATACATAATTCATTCAACCCACTTATATTTTCCCTCAATCTGCATTTATACTTCTCTTTCACACCTTCATCTTGTAACCTCTCTATTCTTATACGCTGTAACGCAGTGGTAGACACCGATGTCCGATGCCGCCAACGTCTGAATAGACCATTAATTCGGCATAAGACCAAGTAATGATCCGTCCCTACGTTGGACCCCCGGTAAACCCTTGTATCTACCACTGCGCTCCTCATTCTTTCATCCACAATTATAAAATCTATCATGCTTCTATCATCCCTTCTTTCCCATGTATACATGTGAATCCTCTTATGGCGAAAGAAAGTATTCGCCACAAAAAGATTCTTTTCCACACATACGGTGAGGAGGTCTTCACCATTCTCATTTATTCTTTCATCGCCAAACGTTCCTAATATCCTTTCATAACCAGACCTCTTCACCCCAACCCTTCCATTAAAATCTCCTAACATAATAATATTTTCATTTTCCTTACATTTCATCAACACCAGTCTTACCATGTCCCAAAACTGCTCTCGGATATAAGTGGGCTTAGACATATCTGGGGCGTACACCCCTAGCACAAACAACTTCTTTAAGTCCACTTTCATTCGTATCCACAGCAGCCTTGGGCTAACACATTCATACTCTTTCACACATTGACCCATTCTTTCTGAAAGGATGACACCGACTCCCTGGCATGCCCGCTCGGTCTCGTCTACTCCAGACCAGTAAGCGGTATACATGCCATGTGTAGTGACATCTCTTCCCTTTCGTTTCGTCTCGTTTACACATAACACATCTATTCCTCTATCATTCATCATTTCGCATACTTCATCCATCTTATCATTCATTGCTCCACATACATTCAGCGTGGCCAGACGGGCCTCCGCAATCCACTTTTCGCCCCCCCCGGGAGACAGGACGTGACGGGTGGCGAACCTCGTCGCCGGTTTTTCTCCCGGAGATTCTTCGCACCCCTGCCCCATTAAAGAGGCGCCGGGAACTCGGGGCCATTTCTTTTCCTTCTTGGCTCATGGTGCGAACTAAGGGGTGTATTAATAATATAATATATGTTTAAGTTTGTTAAAAATATGCTGTTGAGATTTCTAATAAAAAAAAACCGGCCAAGTGCGAGTCGGACTCGCGCACCGAGGTTTCCGAACAAATGCGTAGATATATAAGTTTAAAATTATTAAAAATATTTTTATTATATGATGTAACTAAAAATTTATGCTTTTCGCATTTTTTCCTTTATCTGTGCTATAATACGTTGCTTCGAAGATTCTCAGTTCACGGGAAGTACCCTGTAGGCTTTCATTCCCTTGCGAATGTCGAAAATTTGGGGCATAAACGGCTGTATCTTTTGATTGCGTTGGCTTAGAAGTTTGATTTTTTTCACAGCTCCAAGGGACAGTAGACTTGAGTATTTGATATGAATTTAAGCTTGATACCTCCTCCACGCGTTCCTGAGAAAAAGGGTCTTGACAGACAGACAGACGGATAACAAAGTGATCCTATAAGGGTTTCGTTTTTTCCTTTTGAGGTACGGAACCCTAAAAAGGATGGTCTTGTGGTTTAAGACCATCCTTTGAGGGAGGCCTATGTTCAGTAGTGGATTTGTGATGATAATAAAGTATGAAACAACAAGTGCGTGCAAAAATTATGTATAATAAATATATTGTTTAACAAGTTTTCTTATTCTTAGGGCTAGAGAGCGTCACAAAACTAACTCGCCGCGGTGCTTTTGGGCTCTGAACAGTTTTCATTGTGACCGGTTCCTTCACATCTGTCACCTTTGCCTGTTTTAAAAAGTTATTGCTTTCGTTAGGCTTAGTTAAGCTCGTCGAAGTGTTCGTCAGTGTTGGAGGTAAGGTTTCAGTTTTCTTTTCTGGAGATTTCTTATCACTCGATTGCTTTTGATTTGGACTCTGTGATTTGTTCCCTTGCGTGTCTTCATAAACCAGCTTCATATCTTCACTATCTTCAATAACCGTTACCCCTGCTTCATTATTTTCACTGTCCACATCCATAGGTTCACTTTCCTTAGGTTTTATAATTTCATTATTGGAATTGTCAGACCAAGAGGACATAGCCGTTTCATCGAGTACATCTTTCTTGACGGGTGTTTTTTGTTGAGTTTTGTCAGTTTTCTGTCTTTTGGGAGATTTCTCGACTGGGGGTGCTTTGAACTTTATAAACGAATCGATCTTCGGCGTATTGCTCGGAGTTTTCACTTCCTCGGTTTTGCTGTCTTTGTCAATGTTTCCTTGTTGCTCATCATTTTGGTTTTCCGTTGGTTCTGAAATGTTATACACACTATTACACACATTATTTATTAGTAATTACTAGCGACCCGCCCTGGCTTTGACTAAACTTATTAATATGGCGTCATTTAAATTTAAGATAATCATCAGAGCCCATTTATTTTTACAATTTATCGTTTTCGCAAAGAAAAAAATATAGCTTAAATCACTCCTGGCATTGCTCTCTATCTGTACGTGAAGTTGCATTTCAATCGCTTTAGCCATTCCGAAGATTGGCCTAGATAGACAGAAAAGCAGGTCTGGATAAAGAATGGAGGATAGCCTACTTGTGAGTTTCTTGCTGCTTCTTCTCACAAGGTTTCCCTGTAGTATGTACTTGTTGAAGCGATAGCATAGTATTTGATTTTTAAAAAGTATTTTGTAAAAGTCAATTTTTGATAAAAAATAATTACTTTAAGTTTGATTTATTAGTTGCATTTTTTATCATGAGTACAATATCGCAGAAAAACCAGCACCATGAAGCTGCTATTTCACGATGGTATTCTGTGAGTGACGGGTAAGAACACCCACTACCCCATATCTTCCCGTGGGTGTCGTAAGAGGCGACAGAGGGAAACTGATGTAGAAGATGGGCAGCAGCAGCAACGTTTTAATAACAGCATACTACGACATTATTAAAAAAAACTGCGGTTACCAACACGCTCGCCAAGCTTGGCAACTATGGCAATGAATAAAATAAAGTTACGTCGAGACGGCCCCCCCTCCCCGGCGGCCTCGCTGTTCCTGGCTACGGTGGCGACCATGATAACGACGGGGCAGGGAGTGCTAAGAATCTCCAGTGGAGGTTCGGTTGCCACCTAAGACGACTCCACCTGGCAACATATAACGCACGCACCCTGAGGGCTGACTAGAAGAGATAGACAAGTTGCGCTGGAATATTATAGGATTAGCCGATTAACCGAGGTCCGAAGAGAGGGTGAGGACATGGTAATTCTCGAATCGGGGAACTTCTTCTATCACCGGGAGGGCGATCATCTATCCCAAGGAGGTGTCGGCTTTATCGTCCACAAATCTCTCGTTAACAAGGTTGTTAAGATTAAGAGTGTGTCGACGAGGGTTGCGTACCTTACAATCATTAAGTTATATGTACTAAGTACTAGAGAAGCTATTCCAAACAAAAATTGTGTCCTACTCTATGTCTTCGCGCATGCGCGGGAGATAGTAGAGTCGCGCATGCGTGAAGACTTTAATTTGATATATATATATATATATATATATATATATATATATTATATTAATTACTTTTTTTATAAGAATTCAATATAAAATAGTCTTATTTTAATCTAAACAAACATATTTCTAAATAAAATGTAATAATAATTATCTTATGGAATTCACAAAACTTCAATTCACGTAATATTTAAGTGTACGGATTGCAGTACAATTCAGTTGATCATAGTCAATGTTCGGAATGCGAAATCTAGTGCGTAGTACATATATATAGATGCTTACACTCAAAATAACCAAACGGTATTCGCTGAAGGTTATACAGATTTCTGCACCAACCTCAGCACATTCCGATGAGGAGGTGGAGGAAATGTAGGAGGATATCTCTAAAACCATGCATTCTTCCAAACCCGCGACTTCATGGAGAAAGAGGGCTCTTTATGATGAATGTATGAATAAAAATGAATGAGGTAGAGCCCCGACGGTTCGACAAAACATGAGATTGACTTTATTATGACGACCAGACGACAACTGTTCAGTGATGTCTCAGTGATCGCGAGGGTGAAAACTGGTAGCGATCACCGAATGGTTAGAGGCACACTGAACTTAAACGTTAAGTTGGAGAGGTCTCGTCTAATGAAGTCAACGCTCCGTCCCCCTCGAGCTCTAATACTAAGTCCCGAAACCTTTCAGCTCGAACTACAAAACAGTTCTCAGTGCCCAGAAGATTGCAATACAGTGGACGATATGAACGACAAGCTCATGGAAACTGTCCATGCGGTCGGAGCTAAGTTCTGAAAGACCCGCCGCAGAAGAACACAAAAACTCTCTGATCACACTCTTAATCTCATAGCTGTTAGATGGGTAATGAAGCTGCAGTCTTCAGCAGATTTAACAGCGTACAGGCAACTGAACAGACAGATCTCCAAATGCATGCGGCGGGACTTACGCAACTGCAATATAGCTCGTATTGAAGATGCAATCGAGCGGAACTAGGGCTCCAGTCTTTGCTAGATATCTGTCTGTCAGAAAGAGCCAAATGTCGAAGCTGAAGACTGTGTGACAGCGTCGTATCCGGAACACCTGAGATTTTGTGTGAGATTGAGAGGTTCTATGGGCAGCTGTACACATCACCGTTGGAGCCACAGTGTGAGTAACGATCCAAGAGCAAATCTTATACGACACTATTCCGATGGTATTCCGGACGTCAGTCTGAGCGAGATTAGAATGGCTCCCCAGCACCTTAAAACGGCAAGTCTCCAGGCGAGGATGGAATTAGAGCGGAGCTTCTGAAAGCGGGTGGAAAACCGGTACTTGAAGTTCTTCAGAAGCTCTTTAATTTCGTCCTACATGGTGGCACTACACTGGAGACGTGGAGCAGAAGTGCGGTGGTCTTGTTCTTCAAGAAAGGCGATAACGCTCTCTTGAAGGACTACAGACCGATTTCCCTTCTGAGCAGCGCCTACGTGCTGTTTTCAAAAGTCATTACGAATCGTCTTGCATGCAGACTCAACGACTTCCAGCCTCCCGAACAAGCCAGTTTCCGAAAAGGCTTTAGCACCATAGACCACATACATACCCTTCGGCAAATTGTACAGAAGACCGAAAAGAGTACAATCTGACACTTTTTCTTGCGTACGACTATGAGAAAATCTTTGATTTCGTTGAAATTTGGGTTTTGCTGCAGTCTCTTCAGCGGTCCGAAGTTGACTGTCGCTATATCGAAATGCTGAAGTGTTTGTACAGTAGGGCTACGACGACTATCCGAGTACAGAACCAGAGTACGAAACCTATCCAGCTGCAGAGAAGTGTAAGAAAGGGTGACGATATATCCCCGAAACTCTTCACCGCTGCATTCGAAGACGTTTTCAAGCTACTGGACTGGAAAGGATACGGTATTAACATCAACGGCGAGTGCATCACTCACCTTCGATTTGCCGACGATATAGTCCTTATGGCAGAATCGCTGGATGCTGATGCACTATGCTCAATGACCTCAATAGTTCCTCCCAACCGATAGGTCTTAAGATGAACATGGACAAAACAAAGATATCACAGTATAACAGTGTATCAGACGGCTCCGTGGCGCAGTGTCTCAGCAATGAGTTGCTGCGCTGGGGGCCGCGGATTCGTATCCCGCACGGAACAAGTATTTGTATGGCCTACAAATAATTGTTCCGGGTCTGAATGTTTGTTCTCGTGCAATTTATGTTTGTAAACTGCCTCCACGACACAGGAGAAAATCCTAGTGGGGGTAGGTAACGTTTAAAAAAAAAAAGATCATGTATAACGTCAATGTCGCACCTATGCTGGTAGTTGTATTAATAGTCCGATTAGGTAAGTCCAATTTCGACCGAGAGGGCAATCGACGGATTCAACTCGGCTGGGCAGCGTTCGGGAAATTACGGAACATTTTTTCGTCAGGTATACCTCAAAACTTGAAAACGAGACTGTATAACCAGTGCTTGTTGCCAGTGATGACGTAAGGAACTGAGACATGGTCCTTGTCTATTGGCCGTATGAGGAAGCTCAAGGTAGCTCAGCGAGCTATGGAGAAGGCTATGCTCGGGGTTTCTCTGCAATTATATACAACACGTAACATAATTAACGCACATCCTGAAAGTAGTTTGTTCGGAATCGTTTGCTGAATCGATTTCTATCATTTTAATATAGGTAATTTTTTATCCCAAAAATAATTGAAACTACGTAATTTACAGTCACACTAAACCTGTAACAGTCAAAACAAACTGAAATGGACCGTAACTAAAGGCCATAAGACTTTTAAAGGTGCAGTTTTATTTGTATTAATACAAATTCCGTCATTCAATACAAAATAAAGAAAACCTTATTTCAAGTAAGTTAAAGTCTACAAATACAGAGTTTGAAGTGCCTTATAAAGGTCGCGGCAGCCAGGCCATTGACCTCCCAGATCGGCTGATTTGACGCCTCTTGACTTTTTTATGGCGACGTATTAAATTATTAGTTTATTTTAGTGAGACTACAAGTGCCGAGGACCTAAAAATAGGATAGTGAATGCTCTAATAATAGTGAAAAATGACACTGAGTTGCTTTCTAAATAGTTTTTTCTTTTTCTTTCATTTTTAAAACGTAACCTCCATACTAGGTTTTTTTTTTGTATTGTGGGGGCAGTTTACAAACATAAATTACACCAGGACAAACATCCAGACGCGGAACAATTATTTGTAGGCCATATAAATACTTGTTCCGTGCGGTATTCGAACCCGCGGCCTTTAGCGCTGCAACTCAATTGCTAAGCCACTGCGCCACGGAGAAGTGGTGGACATTTTGAAAGTATATTAAAATACGTTGCATGAGAGTTGAGGCTATCAGTAAGTTAAATATTTGATTCTTAAAATCATTGTAATCTTGATTCACATCTTTTAAACACGCCATCTTTGAATTATGTTGTCTTATTGCCTCTTATTTTTAGCAGTTCATTATTAATTACAATTAAAATGTTATGCAAATTCATAACATTTTGTAACGAATATTGCCTATTGACATTGTATCATAATCAATAAACAAAATTATTCAGAGTCGAAAGTCCAAAGACTGAAAAGTGTGATGAAAAGATGCAATCAAATGTTTACTAGACTTAAATAAACAACTCCATGCACGGAGTTCTGACATCTGTTAATGTTCATAGGTAGGTATTTCTTTAACGTAACCAATGATGTATTGTGAGTCGGCTTTTTTCGGCACTAATACCTACCTACAGTTGTGTCAAGCGGCGGCGGCGTTAACTCGTCTCGAACGCGAGCGAATACCTACTAGGCTAGCAAGACCTATACCTAGCGTTCGTGGTTTTGTACGGTGACCACAACATTCTTCCGGAATAAGTATAACTAATTTAATAAATAATCAATGCATAAACATGTTTAACTAAGAATTCAGTGTATGAATTATTATTATAACATAATATACTAATTGGGGTGTCTGAGGATGTACGTTAATTATGTTAGATGTTGTATAAACTTAGAAATGAGGATATCCGCAGTAGAACCAGAGTGACCGACATAGCCCAACGGATCAGTAATCTGAAGTGGCAATGGGCCGGCCATATAGCTCGGAGAACCGACAACCGATGGGGAAAAAAGGTTCTCGAGTGGCGGCCTCGTACTGCCGGACGAAGTGTAGGTCGTCCCTCACTAGATGTAGTGACGACCAGGAAGGACATGCAGGAAGTCGATGGATACAGGTACAGGTGGCTACTGACACAGGCCCGTTTTTAGTGGCATTCCTTGGGGGAAGCCTATGTTCAGCAGTGACCTTGTGAAAGGCTGTTATGAAGATGAATGATGATTCTGTGAGCGCGTGGTCCTACCCCGGTCAGCCAACCAATTCGTGTTACAACCATAATATAGCTGCAGCGTGTCTCTACCACGTAAAAAAATCTCATCTGACTTACCTGTTGTGGTTTGTTCTGATGTGGTTTCTTGTGGCAGAAGTTCCCCGAGCTCCCCCTCCGCGAAAGAAATAACCGAGCAGAAGCCGTCTGTGCTGGAAGCTACCAGCACTCGACCGTCCGGCGACCACGTCAAATCTGTCAGTCTGAAAAGTAATCATAGTGAAGTTAAAGCCTACAAGCATCCCATTGTTGTCACACACACCTCCCCTTTTTAGGGTTCAGGGTTAAACATCAAGAAACCCTTATAATTTCGCCATGTCCGTCCGTACGTTCATCCGCGGTTGCACTCACTCAGTGCTACAAAACCGTAATTTATCATAGTTATTATTAATAACAGTGAAATATTTTCTAAATTTATCACTAAACTTGTCAAGGTCGCTCAGCGAGCTATGATGGAGAGGGCTATGCTCGGGGTTTCTCTGCGTGATAAACTTAGAAATGAGGATATCCGCAGTAGAACCAGAGTGACCGACATAGCCCAACGGATTAGTTAGCTGAAGTGGCAGTGGGCCGGCCATATAGCTTGAAGAACCGACAACCGATGGGAGATTAAGGTTCTCGAGTGGCAACCTCGTACCGGTAGGTGAAGTGTAGGGCGACCCCCCACTAGATGGAGTGACGACCTGGTAAAACATGTAGGAAGTCGATGGATGCAGGTGGCTCAGGACCGTGCTTTGTGGCAGTCCTTGGGGGAGGCCCATATTCAGCAGTGGACTTATGAAGGGCTGTAATGATGATGATGATGAAACTTGTCCAAGGACTTGTTAAAAAAACAAAGTGGCGACGGCGAGCAGGTGGCGGTGGCGGGGCTGGTGGGGTACCTGGTGTAGTGTATGTTGGAGATGAGTGCTATGGGCGTGCGCTGCTGCGTGTCGTACAGCAGCACGGAGCGCTTGGTGGCGACGGCGAGCAGGTGGCGGTGGCGGGGCTGGTGGGGTACCTGGTGTAGTGTATGTTGGAGATGAGTGCTATGGGCGTGCGCTGCTGCGTGTCGTACAGCAGCACGGAGCGCTTGGTGGCGACGGCGAGCAGGTGGCGGTGGCGGGGCTGGTGGGGTACCTGGTGTAGTGTATGTTGGAGATGAGTGCTATGGGCGTGCGCTGCTGCGTGTCGTACAGCAGCACGGAGCGCTTGGTGGCGACGGCGAGCAGGTGGCGGTGGCGGGGCTGGTGGGGTACCTGGTGTAGTGTATGTTGGAGATGAGTGCTATGGGCGTGCGCTGCTGCGTGTCGTACAGCAGCACGGAGCGCTTGGTGGCGACGGCGAGCAGGTGGCGGTGGCGGGGCTGGTGGGGTACCTGGTGTAGTGTATGTTGGAGATGAGTGCTATGGGCGTGCGCTGCTGCGTGTCGTACAGCAGCACGGAGCGCTTGGTGGCGACGGCGAGCAGGTGGCGGTGGCGGGGCTGGTGGGGTACCTGGTGTAGTGTATGTTGGAGATGAGTGCTATGGGCGTGCGCTGCTGCGTGTCGTACAGCAGCACGGAGCGCTTGGTGGCGACGGCGAGCAGGTGGCGGTGGCGGGGCTGGTGGGGTACCTGGTGTAGTGTATGTTGGAGATGAGTGCTATGGGCGTGCGCTGCTGCGTGTCGTACAGCAGCACGGAGCGCTTGGTGGCGACGGCGAGCAGGTGGCGGTGGCGGGGCTGGTGGGGTACCTGGTGTAGTGTATGTTGGAGATGAGTGCTATGGGCGTGCGCTGCTGCGTGTCGTACAGCAGCACGGAGCGCTTGGTGGCGACGGCGAGCAGGTGGCGGTGGCGGGGCTGGTGGGGTACCTGGTGTAGTGTATGTTGGAGATGAGTGCTATGGGCGTGCGCTGCTGCGTGTCGTACAGCAGCACGGAGCGCTTGGTGGCGACGGCGAGCAGGTGGCGGTGGCGGGGCTGGTGGGGTACCTGGTGTAGTGTATGTTGGAGATGAGTGCTATGGGCGTGCGCTGCTGCGTGTCGTACAGCAGCACGGAGCGCTTGGTGGCGACGGCGAGCAGGTGGCGGTGGCGGGGCTGGTGGGGTACCTGGTGTAGTGTATGTTGGAGATGAGTGCTATGGGCGTGCGCTGCTGCGTGTCGTACAGCAGCACGGAGCGCTTGGTGGCGACGGCGAGCAGGTGGCGGTGGCGGGGCTGGTGGGGTACCTGGTGTAGTGTATGTTGGAGATGAGTGCTATGGGCGTGCGCTGCTGCGTGTCGTACAGCAGCACGGAGCGCTTGGTGGCGACGGCGAGCAGGTGGCGGTGGCGGGGCTGGTGGGGTACCTGGTGTAGTGTATGTTGGAGATGAGTGCTATGGGCGTGCGCTGCTGCGTGTCGTACAGCAGCACGGAGCGCTTGGTGGCGACGGCGAGCAGGTGGCGGTGGCGGGGCTGGTGGGGTACCTGGTGTAGTGTATGTTGGAGATGAGTGCTATGGGCGTGCGCTGCTGCGTGTCGTACAGCAGCACGGAGCGCTTGGTGGCGACGGCGAGCAGGTGGCGGTGGCGGGGCTGGTGGGGTACCTGGTGTAGTGTATGTTGGAGATGAGTGCTATGGGCGTGCGCTGCTGCGTGTCGTACAGCAGCACGGAGCGCTTGGTGGCGACGGCGAGCAGGTGGCGGTGGCGGGGCTGGTGGGGTACCTGGTGTAGTGTATGTTGGAGATGAGTGCTATGGGCGTGCGCTGCTGCGTGTCGTACAGCAGCACGGAGCGCTTGGTGGCGACGGCGAGCAGGTGGCGGTGGCGGGGCTGGTGGGGTACCTGGTGTAGTGTATGTTGGAGATGAGTGCTATGGGCGTGCGCTGCTGCGTGTCGTACAGCAGCACGGAGCGCTTGGTGGCGACGGCGAGCAGGTGGCGGTGGCGGGGCTGGTGGGGTACCTGGTGTAGTGTATGTTGGAGATGAGTGCTATGGGCGTGCGCTGCTGCGTGTCGTACAGCAGCACGGAGCGCTTGGTGGCGACGGCGAGCAGGTGGCGGTGGCGGGGCTGGTGGGGTACCTGGTGTAGTGTATGTTGGAGATGAGTGCTATGGGCGTGCGCTGCTGCGTGTCGTACAGCAGCACGGAGCGCTTGGTGGCGACGGCGAGCAGGTGGCGGTGGCGGGGCTGGTGGGGTACCTGGTGTAGTGTATGTTGGAGATGAGTGCTATGGGCGTGCGCTGCTGCGTGTCGTACAGCAGCACGGAGCGCTTGGTGGCGACGGCGAGCAGGTGGCGGTGGCGGGGCTGGTGGGGTACCTGGTGTAGTGTATGTTGGAGATGAGTGCTATGGGCGTGCGCTGCTGCGTGTCGTACAGCAGCACGGAGCGCTTGGTGGCGACGGCGAGCAGGTGGCGGTGGCGGGGCTGGTGGGGTACCTGGTGTAGTGTATGTTGGAGATGAGTGCTATGGGCGTGCGCTGCTGCGTGTCGTACAGCAGCACGGAGCGCTTGGTGGCGACGGCGAGCAGGTGGCGGTGGCGGGGCTGGTGGGGTACCTGGTGTAGTGTATGTTGGAGATGAGTGCTATGGGCGTGCGCTGCTGCGTGTCGTACAGCAGCACGGAGCGCTTGGTGGCGACGGCGAGCAGGTGGCGGTGGCGGGGCTGGTGGGGTACCTGGTGTAGTGTATGTTGGAGATGAGTGCTATGGGCGTGCGCTGCTGCGTGTCGTACAGCAGCACGGAGCGCTTGGTGGCGACGGCGAGCAGGTGGCGGTGGCGGGGCTGGTGGGGTACCTGGTGTAGTGTATGTTGGAGATGAGTGCTATGGGCGTGCGCTGCTGCGTGTCGTACAGCAGCACGGAGCGCTTGGTGGCGACGGCGAGCAGGTGGCGGTGGCGGGGCTGGTGGGGTACCTGGTGTAGTGTATGTTGGAGATGAGTGCTATGGGCGTGCGCTGCTGCGTGTCGTACAGCAGCACGGAGCGCTTGGTGGCGACGGCGAGCAGGTGGCGGTGGCGGGGCTGGTGGGGTACCTGGTGTAGTGTATGTTGGAGATGAGTGCTATGGGCGTGCGCTGCTGCGTGTCGTACAGCAGCACGGAGCGCTTGGTGGCGACGGCGAGCAGGTGGCGGTGGCGGGGCTGGTGGGGTACCTGGTGTAGTGTATGTTGGAGATGAGTGCTATGGGCGTGCGCTGCTGCGTGTCGTACAGCAGCACGGAGCGCTTGGTGGCGACGGCGAGCAGGTGGCGGTGGCGGGGCTGGTGGGGTACCTGGTGTAGTGTATGTTGGAGATGAGTGCTATGGGCGTGCGCTGCTGCGTGTCGTACAGCAGCACGGAGCGCTTGGTGGTGACGGCGAGCAGGTGGCGGTGGCGGGGCTGGTGGGGTACCTGGTGTAGTGTATGTTGGAGATGAGTGCTATGGGCGTGCGCTGCTGCGTGTCGTACAGCAGCACGGAGCGCTTGGTGGCGACGGCGAGCAGGTGGCGGTGGCGGGGCTGGTGGGGTACCTGGTGTAGTGTATGTTGGAGATGAGTGCTATGGGCGTGCGCTGCTGCGTGTCGTACAGCAGCACGGAGCGCTTGGTGGCGACGGCGAGCAGGTGGCGGTGGCGGGGCTGGTGGGGTACCTGGTGTAGTGTATGTTGGAGATGAGTGCTATGGGCGTGCGCTGCTGCGTGTCGTACAGCAGCACGGAGCGCTTGGTGGCGACGGCGAGCAGGTGGCGGTGGCGGGGCTGGTGGGGTACCTGGTGTAGTGTATGTTGGAGATGAGTGCTATGGGCGTGCGCTGCTGCGTGTCGTACAGCAGCACGGAGCGCTTGGTGGCGACGGCGAGCAGGTGGCGGTGGCGGGGCTGGTGGGGTACCTGGTGTAGTGTATGTTGGAGATGAGTGCTATGGGCGTGCGCTGCTGCGTGTCGTACAGCAGCACGGAGCGCTTGGTGGCGACGGCGAGCAGGTGGCGGTGGCGGGGCTGGTGGGGTACCTGGTGTAGTGTATGTTGGAGATGAGTGCTATGGGCGTGCGCTGCTGCGTGTCGTACAGCAGCACGGAGCGCTTGGTGGCGACGGCGAGCAGGTGGCGGTGGCGGGGCTGGTGGGGTACCTGGTGTAGTGTATGTTGGAGATGAGTGCTATGGGCGTGCGCTGCTGCGTGTCGTACAGCAGCACGGAGCGCTTGGTGGCGACGGCGAGCAGGTGGCGGTGGCGGGGCTGCAGCGCGGGCGCCGGGCCCCCCGCTCTGAGCGCCAGCCGCGCCGCGCACCAGCGCACCGCCAGCGCCGGCTCGCCACAAGGCACCACGCATGCTGGACTGCAAACATACATACAGTTACACGAAATTTTTAATTGCAGCATATTAATGTGTTGAAAATAGTCATCAAAGCTGAGTGTATTGATTAGTGAAGTTTCTACATAACAGTGAATGAACAAAAAGCAAAAAAAAAAACGAAACTCACACTTTTAATGAATATCTTGTGTATATATAAACTGCATTGATCGGCTTCACATCTAGTTTTCCTTGCTCTGGTTCGATGCGACCTGCAGGCACTGCAATGAAGAGGCCATCAGGACTGAATTGCAGTCTTCGGTAAAAAGTTTGCAAAGTGTCATCATGGTACAATCGCACCTTTAAGTCATAAAGTGCATGATCTTTTGGAAATGGTAGCACTGCTTTGCTGCTTCTTGATACAACTTTCTTTGTGGCCACATCAAATGTACGGAAGGTTCTGTAATATGAAAAGTTATAATTTAAAATGGAAAAGTTTGTACAACCCACTTCAATATAAATTATTAAGAATAACTCAAAAACTATTGGTCAGACCTTGATTAATATTATATGGGACCACATGAGAACTACCAGCTTTCAAATAAAAACAGAATTATTGAAATCAGTTCACCTAGAAAAAAGTTATGACGTAACACATGTAAAAAAAAAACAAATTGATGTCGGTAGAAAATCAAACATACCATTACATATCATAGAGTTAGGATTAAAACTCCTGGTGTATGGTTACAGTTCATAAGCTCCCATGACCAGATTAGTATGTGTTGTAAGACAGCATGTTGAAGGCTCATTGGTACAGTAGCTTAGCAAAGAGTTAAGGTACTGAGGGCCACGGGTTTAAATTCCTCACAGAACAAGTATTTGTACAGTCTAGAAGTAATTGTTCCAAGTCGGGATGTTCGTCCTTGTGCACTTTATGTATGTAAACTGCCTTCATGATACAGAAGAAAATCCTAGTGCGAGGGTAACATTTTTTAAAAGCAAAAAAGAGTGAGATATAACCCTCATACACAATTTTATATAATGACAAAAACAATATAATGTACTTACAAATAAACAAAGATGTTATATTTTTTATTAATTAGTTTTATACAAAACAGTTATAATTTTAATTTATTAAAATTCTTCTTGATACTTTAATCAGTAAGTAAAATATAATATGACTATTTACTCACCTATCACTACTAGCAGATGCAATATACTGCCCTTTGGGATCCCATGACACTCCTTGTACAAAACCCTTGTGGTCTGACAATATGCAGCTATATCGTCCTTTGGAGACATCCCACAGTAGTAGTTTATTGTCCACTGAACCAGATGCAAGGTGAGCTGAGTCGGAACTCCAACTTATGTCAAGCACATCTTCCATATGTCCTCTTAGAGTCTTAAAAAGTAATTGCACCTTTAGCTTAATCATAATAATCTTAACAGCAGTTGAAATTATTTGAATTCTTTATCTCTTAATTGTTTATTTTGACTCCATATTTTTTCAAGAAGTTTAAAACTTTGCCCAGGAGCCAGGAGAAGATTACTAGCTTTGCTCATATCCTAGAAACTGGTAATGATTTTAATTTTGATAAACTTTTCATTTTATGAAGTAATTTTGATTTAATATTCACAATTTTTTTACAATAATATTAATTTCTTATATTAGATCCAGATGTAATTAATAATATTTTAAGACAATGATAAACACTTGAGGCTTCCAATTGACACTCTCATGATTAAAAATAATGTTGAAACTGCAACAAGATTTTGTTAACATAGAAATAACATGATAACTACCTGAGCAAAATAAGTTTAAGAATAAAAATGCCATTAATATTTAAGTATTTCGAGGCAAAACTTTACTTTTTTTTACATTATTAACATGGTAGATAAATATAATATATATATATATATATATATATATTTACAATATTTTACCATTCACAAGATTAAGCTATTACTTACTTTGTGGATTACCCATGTTTCCTTGTATTGTTCCTCGCCTTGCTCTTGAACCGGAACTAACTCTTCAGTCTTCTGTTTCCAAACAAAAATAATAGACTCATCATCGCCAGATGCTAGAAGCTTGCCATCTGGTGACCACCTCACTACATTAACTGCTTTCTGGTGGCGTGTCAAATCAGCCGCTACTTCTAAATCAACGGAGCCAGTGTTCATTACTGATATATACCATATCTGAAATCACATCATATTATGACGTTCTTACTAAGACTACAAAAACTGTTATTGAAACAGGCACTAATTTGCTTTTATTTACTTAATTATTGAATCTTGTAATTCATATTATGCTTACCAAAACATGAGAGTCGGTTCCGCCAGTAGCAAGTCTCAAAGGATCATTGGCCTCGCGTTTAGGTTGAAAATCAACACTTAATACAGGATCCCTATTGTGCCACGAAATCTCAGGGATCGAGAATTTCATTTTTAAATCTATATATTACTTTAATTTTAATATAATTATCACAATGTAATATTTTCACAGTCAAATAGATTTTGATTTCCGCTAGGAGTAAAGTATTCTGTTCCAGTTTATAAAAAGTACTTTGTGGTATTCTGCGATTTTGATTGCCAAAAATACAAACAACAATTCTCTTGGCGCGAATTTTCGCCGATTCTTAAATCTTAATTAATTTAAAGGCTAACGTATCTATGTCCATACAGCCTAGTTTGACAGGACTTCGGTATGGGTTTAGATGAATTTCGTTTAAATAATTTGTTCACATCTGTCGATGCGTTACGAAGTGCGTTACATTGCGAATTGCTTGGAACATTTTGACGACACCATATTTTAGTCAGTAATAACTATACCATCTCAAGGCTATGTAGTGGATCGTGTAGTGGCAGTGTAAGAAAATCCAAAACCCCAAATCATCTAGTGGATGTCGTAAGAGGCAACAAAGGGAAACTAATCACGAGATAAGCAGCTGCGTCTTCCGAATAACGATTAAAAATTTAAAAAAATGCAGTTGCCAACCCACTTGCCAAGCGTGGCAACTATGGCAACTATTCCCCTATGAGGTAATCTATGGGCGAGGCCTAATTTAATCAGTGGACTATTATAGGCTGTAACGGTAACGGTATCTCAAGGCACCGAAAACAGAGATGAAATTAGTAGTGAAGCCACTGCCAGTGGTCATGGATAATATTAATAGTCTCAGGTGTTTAAAAAGACAAGAACATATTTCATACATGATAGAGCCATGCTGCAGATATATTAATTGTATAGTTGTAGCACGAATGGGACGGCTCGACCAAGAACCACGCTATCATAGAATTCCAGCGTAAAATAGTAGCATAATGCTGCAACTGTGTTTTGTATGGTGAGCGTAGAGAACCGGAGACCCATTTTACTGGGAAAAAAGGCATTCCATCTTGGTCCTCACGGCTGACAACACATCTGAATTTTGATTCGAAAACGAGGATAGATGTACATGTCTATAGGCCACAGCAACCACTTACCATCAGGTGAACTATGTGCTCGCTTGTCACCCTTATCCACAGAGCAACTACAAAGAGGAGACGGCCTAAGCTACTGTGCACTATGATTCTAACTGGTCCTGACGTAATCACAGTGGGCGTGGATTTAACGTTAGTATTCTGTCAGCGTTCGTCATGTGCGCTTATGTGGCGAAAATCGCAAATCGGTGTATATTCGTAGTATTAAGAAGAAAAGGATGAAGTGTTGTGTTTTATCATGTAAAGACTACTCAGATAGACATTCTGATGGTATGGATGGCATCATATTTCATTGTAAGTAATTTTATACCTAATTTAGATTTAGATTAAGATAAATCTAGAAAAATCTCTGCGTCGGCTTTCAAATATATTAAATATATTGGACACTAGATGGCGACACTTTGTGTCATGGGGACTAAAAATATAAAAGTACATAGAGCTCAGTATTGGTAAAATAATCATAGGAAGGTGCTGAAATTTGTTTTGCATTCAGTCCTAAAAAAAAATTATCACCAAAACATTATTTTTACAGTTTTTATAATCATTTTGTGAACAGGCGGCCATCTATCGTCAAGGTAGCTAAACTACATTACAATATCGATATGGAACAATACGAGTAGTTTTACTATTTATCGGTAGATGGAAATAGTTAAATGAGCGGGGCTTAACACCCCTTCACCCCGCAACTTGTCACGCGTTGTTACATAGTTTTTTATAGGAGAGGGTGACAAACGAGCACACAGTCCACCTAATGGTGAGTGGTTGCTGTGACTCATACGTCAACATCTATCCTCAATAAAGAATCAAAATGCAGATGCGTTGTCACCTGTGAGGACTAAGATGGAATGCCTCTTTTCCAGTAAAAAGAGTCTCCGGTTCTCTACACTCACCATAGGAAACACAGCAGTATTAAACTTCTATTTCACGCTGGTATTCTGTGAGAGCGTGGTCCTTCCCCGGTCGAGCCGACCCATTCATGCTACAACTATACTACTAATATAGCTGTAGCATGGCTCTACCAAGTAACAAACACACATGTTACGTAGTAAAATCTAATTACAACACCTCCTCTTTGTATTTGCTCCGTGTATAAGGCCTATAAAAAAACATATAGTTGTCGTGACGCACCGACGCTCTGGGAATCTTTCACTCTGTTTATCTGTTTTTAATCACACACAAAATAATTATACCTAATCCTATGTAGACAAATTAAATAAAACTGGACAAGAGCAAGTAGGACTCGCACCCTTAATCCATGAATCCGGAGAATCGAGATTCTTCACAATTTTTATTCGTTTTTTATACAAGTACATGAATGCCCTAAACGACAGATTATATTCATTTTTAGATTAAAATATGTAGAAAAGCTATATAATTATTTTCTCTCTCCTCTGACTTCATTCCTATACATTGAATTAATATAGTCCGGTGGAAGAATGCAATTTTTTTTTATAGGATAAGGATGACAAACGAGCACAAAGTCCACCTGATTGTAAGTGGTTGCTGCGGCCCATAGACATCTACATCTATCCTCTGTTACAAATCAAAATGTAGATGCGTTGTCACCCGTGAGGACTAAGATGGAATGCCTCATTTCCAGTAGAAAGGGCCTCCGGCCACCTGCACTCACCAAGCGAAACGCAGAGGTAAACCTCTACTTCACGCTGGTTTTCTGTGAGGTCGTGGTACTACCCCGGATCGAGCCAGCCCATCCGTGCGACAGCAAAAGCTGCCGCGTGGCTCTACCACTGTATTACTATCATCATCATCATTTATTCTATATAGCCCTTCTACAATTCACGCTCGGACATAGGCCTCCCAAAAGAAACGCCACAAAACACAGTCCTAAGTCACCTGCATCCACCGATATTCTGCATATTTTACGCGGTCGTCACTTCTAGTGGAGGGATACCGTATATTCTAAGTCTATGCATAGAGATAAATAATAGCAGGTTTTCTACATACGAAACTAGTATAAGTTTTCGAATACCAATAGCAGTTCTTAAAACTAGTCATTCCCAGTTAGGATCATTTTTCACACTTATTTTTAATGCGTTACTCGATAATCGTGTAACTTGAGAAAGTGTTATTGGTGCAAATCTTTTTAAGATATTTAATTAATGAGTAGGTATTATATTATGTGACGCCAAAAATTTTCTAGAACCTATAATTATTAAATAAATAGAAACTGTGTAAAATAGAACTCTTAGGATCCTACGGATTTGGAGAAACGAATTTGAGAAATCTTCGGCATTGTAGTAAGATGCATTCAGTAGAGTCAAGAAAACAGATCTTTACTCTCCGTGACATAAGTAGAAAACGCTCTCGATCAAATTATAGCAATATTTTCACACGCACGTATCGGAATCTTGCTTTGCAAGTTTTTCCTGTTTCTTCAATAAATCATCATCATCATTATTACAACCTTTCATAAGTCCACTGTTGAACATAGGCCTCCCCCAAGGAATGCTACAAAGCACGGTCCTGAGCCACCTACATCCATCGACTTCCTGCATGTCTTACCAGGTCTTCACTCCATCTAGTGGGGGGACGCCCTACACTTCGTCCGCCGATACGAGGCTGCCACTCGAGAACCTATTTACCCATCGGCTGTCGGTTCTTCGAGCTATATGGCCGGCCCATTGCCACTTCAGCATACTAATGCGTTGGGCTATGTCGGTCACTCTAGTTCTACTGCGAATATCCTCATTTTTAAGTTTATCACGTAGAGAAACTCAGAGCATAGCCCTCTTCATAGCTCGCTCAGCGACCTTGAGCTTCCTCATCCGGCCAGCAGTGAAGGACCACGTCTCAATACCATAGTTCATCACTGGCAATACGCACTGGTTGTACAGTCTTGTTTTTAAGCTTTGAGGTATACCTCACGAAAAGATGTGCCGTAATTTCCCGAACGCTGCCCAACCGATTTGAATCCGTCGATTGACCTCTCGGTCGAAGTTGGACTTACCTAGTCGAACTATTTGTCCCAGGTAAACATAATCGTCAACAACTTCGAGCTTAGTGCTCCCAACAACTACCGGCATAGGTGTGACATGGACATTAAACATCATCTTTGTTTTGTCCATGTTCATCTTAAGACCTATCCGTTGGGAAACACTATTGAGGTCATTGAGCATAGTGCTTAGGTCCTCCAGCGATTCTGCCATAAGGACTAGATATCGTCGGCAAATCGAAGGTGAGTGATATACTCGCCATTGATGTTGATACCGTATCCTTTCCAGTCCAGAAGCTTGAAAACGTCTTCCAATGCAGCGGTGAAGAGTTTCGGGGATATAACGTCACCCTGTCTTACACCTCTCTGCAATTGGATAGGTTTCGTACTCTGATTCTGTACTCTGATAGCCATCGTAGCCCTACTGTATAAGCACTTCAGCACTTCGATATACCAACAGTCAACTTGGCATCGCTGAAGGGACTGCAGCACCGCCCAAATTTCGACGGAATCAAAGGCTTTCTCATAGTCTACATACGCAAGACATAGGGGCAAATTGTACTCCTCGGACTTCTTTACAATTTGCCGAAGGGTATGTATGTGGTCTGTGGTGATAAAGCCTTTTCGGACCTTGGTTGTAGCGACCATTTACCTATAACGACGTTAAATCTAATTCCCTTGAATTTAATGCACATTTTAGTACAAAATTCATGCGGCTATAGTGACTTTGGATGTAACGCCGAGTTCGGGTGTAGCGACTGTTTTTAATGAACCATTTGTAACAAATTCCTAGAAATCCAATGCAGATATTGCAATCAGAGTCGCCTGCCAAAGACAAAGATTTATTTCTTTCACAAACATTTCTTATCTTTTGTTCACATCCATACAGATGGTTAGCAAGTGTGGAGATCTTTACCTTTTGTTTATAGACATCAGCTAAGTAGGTAGGGAAGCGTGTACGTTTCGGAGTTAAAGAGGAATGGCAGACTTTCATACATAAAATTAGTTGAGAAGAAATGGTAGCGTCTATATATCAAAAATATCTTAAAATGTTAAGCTTCAATCCCTTAATAACACTGTCAAAGAATTTTGTCCTGAGAAGGCGTCAAAAAAGTTATTTACATTTGAACCTTTTTAGGTTATGTCCTATGTCACTTGGAAAAAGTCATGTTTCCTGTGATTGTTTGATGTTAGCTTAATACATAATACATAATTGAGAGATTTTAGATTATTGTATCTCTATTATATATTTGCATACTATAAATGTATATTTCAGGCATGGCTCCAGGGCTTTTGTATCATAGTGACATTCTCAGAAGGGCTAGAACCCAGAGCCGTAAAGCCAGTAAAAAACAGTGACATTTTGTTTTAGCTAGTGTCTATGGAGTGTAGAGTAGAAGGAGGACCATCTCTGTATATGAAAAGTGTCCCTAAAAACGTGTCCAATAAGGGTGGCGCTGCAGTAGCATAGGATAAATTAAAAAAGAAGCGCCAAAAGTATTTAGAGTAAGATGTAGAAATAAATAAGGACCGATCAATCCGCTTGGTTTTGTATTACGTAAATAGTTGAGATTTTGTATATTGGCGTTTTACTAACTACTCTAGTCATGAAATATTTGAATTCAGCTGACTTCACTCCGTTCATAACAGCTATCTTCATATCGTAGTTTTTCAGACGCCAGCGCTATTGTGGTAGGTTTTGGAACCTCTATTTACAGTAAATAGTAGGACACTTTTTCAACCTTCGCTCCTTATAAGATGGTTCTCCTTCTACTCTACACTCCATACTAGTGTCGGCATAACATTAAATGGAATTGTTACATAGTACTGTGATTGAGATATTATTGTAGGAAATTCTTTGTAAGAGACTTATTCTCAGCCATATCTCTTTTATTTTTATTATTACTGATAGTACAGTTAGTACTAATAATAACATAATATAAAAATATTTTTTGTGTTGTGTTGGTAGTCTTACAAAGTATATACGAAAATAATATGAATATACTAAATGGCAACACTTGAACAGAGTAAAATGATTTGAGTCATTTGATATTCCCAAAAATGTTTGCTTTTTTCTGTGGCTATAATTAAAATACATTTTTATTTGAAAAATCATAGAAAAATAATAAAACTCATTTGATATATAACTTATTTCTAGACGAGATAATTTTTGTCAACTATTTTTCTGCCATTGCTCTTTATAATATTCTGAGTAGCAACTGTAATGTATTAATTAAGTATAACTGTAATGTATTTTTTAACAGTGGTAGAGCCACGCGGCAGCTTTTGCTGTCGTACGTATGGGCCGGCTCGAACCAGGGTGGTACCACGACCTCACAGAATACCAGCGTGAAGTAGAGGTTTACCTCTGCGTTTCGCTTGGTGAGTGCAGGTGGCCAGAGGCCCTTTTTACTGGAAATGAGGCATTCCATCTTAGTCCTCACGGGTGGCAACGCATCTGCATTTTGATTCGCAAACGAGGATAGATGTAGATATCTATGGGCCGCAGCAACCACTTACCATCAGGTGGACTGTGTGCTCGTTTGTCACCCTTATCCTAAAAAAAAAATTAAATTTGTTACCTTTGCCTGTAACGACTTCCGGATATAAGGACGAAAATAGAGTGGTCCCTACATCGTCGTTATACCCGAAATCCACTGTATATATATATATATATATATATATACACACACACGTGCGAATGTGTGTATGCGTGCATTGAAATAAAATAAAATAGATATGAGTTTAAAGAGGACGAATTGTCTTGTTTGAAGAACTCTGTCATAATCCTTTGATGAGATGCCGATTTAACGCCGCCACCGCTACGCTGCACCGAGCACCGTATGTAATCGGCTGAAGCATCCAACGCACTCGAACTACCTAGCTTGCTGAATGCTGAATATATATTTATTTATGGAACTACCTCCTAATTCTGTTAGAGGTGGTTGGACAGTTGGACAATTAATTTCTATAGGAATTGGCTGTATAGTCTGGAGACTATTGCCTATCATCTTAAAATAAATGAACACGGGACAACAACAACAAAACGTTTGTCTCTGTCTCTTTCACTGACATTTGCTTGTTAAAGTAAAACACCAAAATGGTTTGTTTTTGAATTTTATATTTATCCATTAAAATCTGTATTAATGTTTAAGTAAAAGAATATTTTGTGAACGGATTAAGACATGAATAGGATAACTTTGGAACATAGCGGCTTTATTTTCAATTTTCATCATTGCTAATTCCAGGTGAACGTACCAAAACAGCGCAGAACATACTGCAAAAAATGCAAGTGCCACAAGATTCACAAGGTGTCTCAGTACAAAAAGTCCAAAGAAAGGCACGCTGCGCAGGGTAGGAGGCGTTACGACCGTAAACAGCAGGGATATGGTGGACAATCCAAACCCATTTTCAAGAAAAAGGTAACCTTTAACATAACCTAAACATTCAATTATACATTCAAGTGATTTTGATTTGTTTAATTAATCTTGCACCTGGGTTTACAATATTGCCCCAAATAACACAAATACTACTATTATTAAAATTACCAGATTATAAACTCTGAAATTGAACATGATTTATCATTAAAACTTCTAGATTGTATTTCTATGATATTTCTTTACATGCAGATTAAATTTACTTTAAACCTTTCTCACAATTTGAATATTATTGTTATTATCTTTTCTAAAGATATGCTAATATTTAATCCTTTTTAGGCCAAAACTACTAAGAAAATCGTATTGCGTTTGGAATGTGCTGACTGTAAAGTAAGGTCTCAAGTAGCACTCAAGCGTTGTAAGCACTTTGAGCTGGGAGGAGATAAGAAGAGGAAGGGACAAATGATCCAGTTCTAGCCTGGCAAATAAATAAGTTAAAATTTATCTTGAGATTTTGATTTTATAATTGGACCCTTTTATCATATTACTCTTTAATCTGGTCTCTGAGGTTGGCAGATTATGAAATACTATTGATATCCTCATATTATGCTATAGAATTTCCTTTAACAAATTTAAATATGCTTCCATCAGTTGACTGCCAGAGCTTGATTAGTTAGCATAATGAACCAGATGAAGTTGGTACTTCAAGAAATACTATTTGCCCACTATACTTATCAGCGATTGATATCTATAAACTGTAGATGACTAAATAACTTTGCTTACAGTGCTGATTTACCATATGCTTGGTGGTGTAGGAAAACTGTGAGAAAACCTGTATCAGAGAAATTAAAAATATATATATATATATATTAAAGACATGAAGTCTGTACACAATAGGGCAGAGTGGAGGATGTTTCCTTGCTCTCAAACCCTAAAAAATGAGGAGGCCTGTGTCCCCACGTGGAATACATATAAGTGTAAATTTTTATTATTGTACGACTTCATCTTACTGTTAATCTAAAATTAATATCACAAAAGATACATTCATAAAAAACCACTGCCGGGGACAGAAAAGTAAGGAAGTACGATTTATACATGATAGTCATGCTGTTGGTACATTTTAACAAAAATGGGCCAACTCAACTGGGGAAGGACTACATTTGGACAGAATACAACAGTAATTAGCAACTAAAGCTCTTGTCTTTTGTATGGAGTATAGAGAACAGGAGACTTTTTTTTTATAGGAGAGTGGGCAAACTAGCATGAGGCTCACCTGATGGTAAGTGACTACCGCCGCCCACGAACAACTGCATCACCAAGGGAATCGCAGATGCGTTGCCGGCCTTTTAAAAAGAAGTAAGCTCTTTTCTTGAAGGTCCTTAAGTCGTATCGGTCCAGAAAATTTGCTGGTGGTAATCGATTCCACAGGGAAGTTGTGCGAGAAAGAAAACATCCTCTAAATCGCACAGTGGTGGACCGCCAATCATCCAGATGGTGTTGATGGTATCGGGAGATCTGCCGCGATGTGCGTTAGCGAAATATGGCGACTGGGATTCATCCGAACAATTCCTCAAAGCACTCCCCGTGATAAATGCAAAAGAAAATGCATAGGGATGCAACATGTTTTTGCAGCACCAATGAATTGAGCCAATTGAAAAGGACTCTGTCGTGGACAATTTGAGCCGCTCTGCGCTGGATACTGTCAAGTAGCAGGAGCTGGCACTGGAGAGACCCTGCTCAGAGTTGGGAACAATATTCCATGTAAGGCCAAGTCTGCGCCTTGTAAATTTGCAGGCATTGTGCCGGCATGAAATACTGTCCCGCTCTGCTGAGCACGCAAAGCTTTTTGGAAGCCAATTTGGCCTTCTCTTGAAAGTGACCACGAAACTGCACGTCACTCGAAATGTCGGCGCCGAGGATTCCGATACTGGCTGAGGCAAGAAGGGGAGTGCCTTGAAACTGAGGAGATACGACAAAGGGGTTCTTTTTAGCGGTAAACGTGCAATCTTGTGTCTTCTGAGGATTAAACTGGACTAGATGTCGCCCCCAATCCTAGACTGTTCAGCAAAAACTCGACCTCAGACATAAGTTTGTTCTGGTACTTGGCGACATACTTTTTTACTGGAACCTAGGCATTCCATCTTAGTCCTCAGGGATGACAATGCATCTGCATTTTGATTTTTAATTGAGGATTGAAGTAGATGGCTATGGGCCGCATAATCCACTTACCACCAGGTGGACTGTACTATAAAAGTGATAAGGCTTGACTTTTGAACAGAACCTATGCTTTTGAGTCTGTATGCTAAGTAATTATATTTATCTTTAATTATCTGACTTGACATTAAGTTTAATGTACATTTTTTTGATAATGCAAAGCAACAAATAGTGATTGATGCTGAAACTAATTGCTACACCAAGTGATTCAAACAAATTTTAAAGATAGATAAAGAATATTCTGTTAGTAAGGTAGAAAATGCCATAAGGCATAAATAATTTTATTTGATTATAGCAACTTAAGTGATTTTTTTTCAATAGGATAGGGTGACAAACGAACACAGTCCACCTGATGGTAAGTGGTTGCTGTGGCCCATAGACATCTACATTTATCCTCGTTTGTGAATCAAAATGCAGATGCGTTGTCACCTGTGAGGACTAAGATAGAATGCCTCTTTTCCAGTAAAAAAGGTCTCTGGTTCTCTACACTCACCATATGAAACACAGCAGTGTTAAGCTGCTGTTTTACGCTGGTATTCTGTGAGAGCGTGGTCCTTCCCCGGTCGAGCCGACCCATTCGTGCTACAACTATACTACTAATATAGCTGCAGCATGGCTCTTGTAAACTTTTTATAGACAGAAGAATAGACAAATTTTAGTAAAATAATTAAATTTATTAACATATTTACAACTTCAAGCTGTTTAAAATATATGTATAATATCACAATTTGTAAATCTTGATATTTTGTAAATAAGTTATTTCTTTAAAAAACTTTCTAGCACATTAGGATCCAAACCTTCTAATGATACTTTTAATTTGACTGCTTCTAAAGGAACACCCACTTGTATCATTTTTAAAAATCTCTCATATTCTGGTTTTGTTTGAATTGAAACATCTGTTGTTGAGGCTTCAGTTTCTGGAACTTTATCTTCTGTGTTTGTAATTCCTTGTGCTTGATTATCTACTTTTGCTTCTTCTGTTTTTATTGGAGAATTATTAAGAGCTTCAGCACTTTCATTTGTTTGAGATGAATTATTTACTTCAGGAATTGAAGACAGCTGAAACAAAAACTTATACTAATTACTTGTGATTGTAGTCTTGTTGTTATTACATTATTTTGATATAGAAAGCAAAACATTTACTCATACATTATTAATATTATTTTAAATGACTTCATTTTATTAAAATGATATTAAAAAATATATTTAAGGGTAGGTATGTTTTTTCTTACAATTTGAGATCTTTCTGAATGACATAATATTTAGACATATGGTTTTAGACATGACTCATCACTACTATATCATCTATACTCAGGGGCGTAGCTACCGCCGTATCAGCCGTATCAATGATACGGGGCCCCCGGGCTACAGGGGCCCCGAGAGTGTATAAGCAAAAATTCCAAGGACTTCTATGGGACAGGAAAGGCTATCACTATTGTCTATCGAAGTATAAAATTTAGTAAAACTGAAAACTTCTTCAGCTATGAATGCCGCCGAATCGTCTTCAGCTATGTTCGCTGAACAAAAGTCACGAAAAATGTATTATTGATTTGAATTGTTTGGCTATATACTCGTAAAATAATTTTAAATCAATGCAAGCGTTTTGTTCCTTTTATGAAATCTTTACTCTTCATTGGGGCCCCCCATCAAATTTTGATACAGGGCCCATCTAAGGCTCGCTACGCCACTGTCTATACTACAGGGAGTCCCCTAGGAATCCTAGAGATTGATGTCAGCCACCAAATTACACCATTCAATTCAGCAGGCCAATTTTTAATTCCATACACATCATCTTGATTGTAGGCAATATACCACCCTGCAGTATTTGGGAACTCACTGCCACACACTACCTTACATATAGTCAATATGACTTAGTAACTTTCAATATGAGCCTACTCCTTTCTAAAAGGCTGGCAATATATATAATATATTGTATATATTGCCAGCCTTTATAATTTCGATATATATATATAATTCTACTGCTGCTAATGTAGTGACACTACATATTATTGTTAATATGACTTAGGGACTTTCAATAAAAGAGCCTACTCCTTTCTAAAAGGCTGGCAACACATCTAGTATACCTCGGCTGTTGCAGATGTTAATGGGTAGTGGTGATCACTTACCAATAGCCGAGCCACAAGCTCATTTGACCCCCTTTAATCAAAAAAGGATCCTATGGAAAATATTTATAAACAGCCTGTGAAACATAAGTTCATTATATTATTTACCCTCGCTTCCAATAAAACCATTGCAGCATCAACCTTTTCTAACTTTTCTTCAAATTGCATCAGTTTACTTTCACATTGCTTTGCAAATGTATTCAGAAACTGCACTGTAGTGACCACAAAATGGTTGACAAATGCTAATGTTCGCTTTTGCTGTAAAGCTGCTACCTGAAATCAAGCCAACATAAACATTATCATATTTTAATAGACATCATCACAGAATTCTTTTGAATCCTACTGGATGAGCCCTTGGAAGGAAGTGCAAAATGTAGCAGTTTTTTTAGATACCAAAGCATCTTTTCATCAGACTATGAAATTCAACTGCTGTACATTGTCCTCTTTTATAAAGAGATTTTGCCATAATAAGCAGGTTGGTTGGTGTTTGCTAGGCCAAATATTTTTACTTAGACTTAGGTTGTGTTATTGTTCATAACTGGGTAGTCCCATCATTACCTTAAGGTCACTTGGGGGAACAGTCATAACAGGGGCTTCAAAGCTCCTAGGGACCTTAAAACTTAGAAATGCATGTAGCCCATTGCAAGTCCACTATTGAACATAGGTCTCCCCCATAAATCGCCGCAAAATACAGTAGTCAGCTACCTGCATCCTTTAACTGCCACTACCTGTGTTTCATCAGATGACTATCCCATCTTGTAGAAGCGACACCACACTTTCCAATACAAAGCTTTCTTTCTTATTGGTTGTCGCTTCATGGAGGTATATGGCCGGCTTATTTGAAAATACTTACTTTAGTTAAATCCAAATTTTTTGTTTCTTGTTCCATTAATGTTTCTTGCATAGTGAAACTTTTAGGATAAGTTAAAGTAGTTTCTTTAAACAACTAATTTATTTTGCATTAACCTGTTCTGTTTGTTAGAAGACAATTAAAATGGATAATATAATTGTTTGTTACCGAATTCTGTAGTTAATGCCCTTTAAAGTAAGTATATATTATCTATGATAGTTTTAAAGCAATATTGTATTAGAAACTAAGAACATATGGCCAAAAGGAATTGTATTGGGTATAAATATACAATCGTATTCTACATTGAAAAATGGTCAGGGCTAGGGCTAGGACTTTTTGTATCAGTCAAGTCTCTGAAATTATACAAAATTGATTTCCAAGTTATCGGTAGAGAAAAGATTATGTCGTAAAATTCCTTGATAACTGTCGATATAAGTAGTTTATCATGCTTGTTGCTGTTGGAATTGGAATTGTAAGTTCAAGAAAAAACAACAAAACACTCAAGTTTTATTCTTTAATTATGACAGTTGACATTGACATAGCTATGAAATACATTTTTTTAATAACTGGCATTACGGCTCTGGTTCTAGCCCTTCTGAGCCTGAACTTACAATGTATAATTATCCTTCATAGTACACTGCTTCACATGTTGATGGTTGATGCCTCACATTGTGCAGCCCTTGGGAGCTTTTGACGGCAATTTGAGCCAGCAGACGGCTGACAGTTGGCGATGGTATCTCAAGGTGCCTAACCAGACGGGCACTTTATGTTGAGGATCTCATCACCATCAGAGCACTTGTTTCGCCGTTTCCATTAATAGTTCCAATGCACAGACATTTAATGCACAAAATCGCACCACTTTCACATATCAAAATCGGATAAGATGCCTGTCTGCTTAGGCGCCTTGAGATATTATCGCCAACTGTCTGCTGGCTCAAGTTGCCGTCAAAATCTCCCAAAAGCTACGCAATGTCACGCAACAACATATTGTGAAACAGTGAATAACAGTACTATAAAGAATTATTATCACTTGATACTGAAAAAAAAATGGGCATCATCGTCTGAAAATCTATAAAAACGAAGATCCCGAATGAAATGAAGACATAGCTAAAAAGACAAGCATTCAAGACAAAAATCTTAAAAATAAAACATGGGATTAGCCATGGATGCACATGTCATGCAGCACATGTCACATTAGTAGACTCCTCACCTATGGAGGAGGACCATCTCTATATGTGAAAAGTGTCCCTAAAAACGTGTCCAATAAGGATGGCGCTGCAGTAGCATAAGTTAAATTAAAAAAGCGTCAAAAGTAATTCGAATAAGATGGAGAAATAAACAAGGACCAACCAATCCGCTTGGTTTTGTACAACGTAAATAGTTGAGATTTTGTATATTGCCATTTTACTAACTACTCTAATCATGAAATTTTTTAAATATTTGAATTCAGCTGACTTCACTCCGTTTACAACAGCTATCTTCATATCGTAGTTTTTCAGACGCCAGCGCTATTGTGGCCAACCACCTATTTTGAAACCTCTATTTTCAGTAAATAGTAGGACACTTTTTTAACTTTCGCCCCTTATAAGATGGTTCTCCTTGTACTCTACACTCCATACCCTCACCTCACCTCGGACAATTATTTTTAAATTTAAAGTGCCATTGAAGTGAAAACTTATTTTGTGATTTGATACTCGATGAAACGAAAAAGCGACACTAAAAAGAGACAAGCATATACATCACATCTATAGTTTTTAATCTGCGAGAGAATAAGATAGAATACATCCGCCATTCGACTATTGTCTATTTTACGTCTTTTTTTATTTGTTTTTTATTTTACTTATTATAAGCCAGTGCTCTATGACTTGACCACAATCCCACCTAGTGGTAAGTGGTGATGCAGCTTTATATGGTAAATCGCACTGCCTTATCGTAACAAAAGCCTATTCACTCTTGCTTTGAAGATGCCCAGATTGTATTCGGACGGAAAGATTTTTCTTCTCTTCAAATTTTTCTTTTTAAAAATATATTACTTTTGAAGTGCCTGTGGCACCGCTCTGGAGCGGTCGTGTCCAGGTAGTCCACGCATCCGTCCCCGTACGGTAGTGCTCTCTCGCTCTCGCGCCTCCGCTGTCCTGCTCGCGTTGTACAGCGTCGACGCTTTGGTGAGTCATTTTCGCTAACAGTTCTTGCCCCCCTGTCTTCGGGCGGGGAGCTCTTCCGGAAGAGCGTAAAGTCAGGGTCGTCATCCGTGGCGTCCCCTTCGAATTTTCCAACGAGGAAATCCTGGAGGACCTTAAGTCCCAAGGTTTCCCCGTAGAAGCCGTGCACAAAATGCACAGTAGAACGGGCCAGAGGTTCTCTCTTGCCCTAGTAATTTTAACCAACATGCCGGAGGCGAAAGTCATCTTCCGGCAGGTACGCACAGTGTGCGGCCTGTCGAGAGTGAGGGTTAAGCCTCCACATAGGCGCGGGTTCCCGGCGCAGTGCCACCGCTGCCAGCTGTATGGTTATGCGGCGGCCAACTGCTCCGCCCCACCCAGGTGCGTTAAGTGTCTTGAACCCCACAATACTAAAGAGTGTCCTCGGCCCAAAGACGCCGAATCCTCACCCGCGTGTGTCCTGTGTAAACAAACAGTCCACCCGGTAAACTACAGAGGCTGCCCTTGCGCACCTCATCCTCGCCCCAGTAGACAAGCTCCACCGCCGGTCAATGACCGATAATACCCGGCTCTTTACCAACGGACGCCACGTCAGGGCCTTTCTCAGCCCATCCAGGGCTTCTTTCGGGCCTCTCAGGGTCCCCCTAGGCCCTTAACTTAATTAACTTAACTCACAATGACAGAGCAGTTTGCTCTACCAAAGTCTCACGGTCGTATCAAACCTAAGGGTTTATCGCTTGTATCCTTTAACATTCGCGGTTTGCGAAATAACCTCCCAGAGCTTAAGCTCTTTCTTCGAAATCATGAAGCCGATTTCCTACTCCTACAGGAAACTAATCTCAAAACTAAGGACACTAAAGGCCTTTCTATTATAAACTTTTCTCTTCTTCGTAATGACAGGCCCGACAGCCGAGGTGGCGGTACGGCCATTTATTACAAGAAGACACTCCACTGCTCTCCTATTTCTACTCCGCAGCTTACCAATATGGAAGCCACGGTATGCAGGCTAGCTATGACTGGACATCAGTCCATTCTCATAGCCTCCTGTTACATCCCTTCTGGAACCCTTCCCCTCAAAAAAGATTTTGAGGCTATTTTATCTTTAAGTAACCAAGTCATTATGTTTGGAGATTTTAACTCCAAGCATACTGAATGGACATGCCGTACTACCTCCCGTAGTGGCAGGATACTGCTTGATATCACGCACTCTCTTGACCTTACCGTTCACAGTCCCCTCGGTGCTACTCACTATCCCGATGTCACCGACTACGCTCCCGACGTGCTAGATTTTGCACTATTCAAAAGTGTTTCACTCAACCTCAGGGCAATCGAGACACTAGACGATCTAGGATCCGACCACCGATCGGTCTCCCTCATTCTTGGCCATCAGCCAACCCCTCAACACCCTCTACTAAAACCTTCACAAATTGGAAGGGCTTCAAGGAGTCCCTAGCGAAAGCTCTGGACTCACAGGACTCTCCCATCTCCCTATCGTCGGACTTAGACAGTCCCGAAAAAATCGACACCGCGGTCGATTCACTCTCCACCCTTATTAAAACCTCCCTTAAGGAGAATGAAAGGGTAGTCCCGGTTGCTAATAATAGTGGGCTTCCCCTACATATTAGCAACCTATTAAAAGCCAAGAAAGCTGCTTTCCGGAGAGCAGCAAAATATCCCACGCCCGAATATAGGCGCATGGCCAATCGTCTTCAACGAGAACTCCGTTTCCGCCTCTCTGAATTTCGAGACCTCGAAAAGAGTAAATTCATGGAGATTATCTCTCCCTGTCATACAGCGTACTATCGGATAGCAAGAACCCTCCGCATAGACGCTATCACCCACACTCCCCCTCTCTCCCGTCCCGACGGTACGGTAGCCTTCGAGGATGAGGAAAAGACTGAGTGCTTTGCAGACAGTATTGCCGCTCAATGCTCTCCTAGCTCTCAACCCGCCGACCCTTCACACGTCCAGGCAGTGGAGGATGAGTTCCGCCGCCGGAACTCACCCCCTACAGCCTCCGAACCTATCTCTGTGTCCAATGATGAGATTTCATCCCTCATCAAAGGACTTAAGCCCAAAAAGGCCCCGGGCGCGGATGGCATCTCCAACCAAGCCCTTAAACACTTTCCTGAGCAGGTGTTAACCCTTTTAAATATTATCTTCAACGCCTGCTTCAACTTTGGTTACTTTCCCACTACGTGGAAAGAGGCAACTGTGATTGGTATTCCCAAGCCAGGCAAGCCTCTCAATCTCCCCTCCAGTCATCGCCCCATTAGCCTCCTCCATGGGCCTCAAGGCCATGGGCAAGCTCTTTGTAAGAGTCATCCAAAATCGCATGAGGCGCCATCTGTTTCCCACAGACGGTAACCCTCTTATCATTCCCCATCAATTCGGTTTCCGAGCGAAACACTCCTGTCCCCAACAAGTTCACCGTATTGTGGAATATATCGTCAGTGGTTTTTATCCTCGTCGTCATAAGACCATCGCGGTCTTTTTCGATATAGCTAAAGCCTTTGATAGAGTCTGACATACAGGCCTTATCTACAAATTATACAAAATAGGTCTCCTCGATCGTCTAGTACGTCTCGTGGCTTCTTATCTAAAGCATCGTACCTTTCGTTTTAGACACGAAGGCACGCTATCTTCACAGCGCCCCATCAATGCTGGTGTCCCTTAGGGCTCAGTACTTGCTCCTCTGCTGTACATCCTGTTTACCAACGACATTCTCATCCCGTCGAAAGGTGTTCAACTCTCCCTCTTCGCAGACGACACTCCTCTCTACTGTAAAGGTATCTCGCTACCTTTCATACGGAACAAGGTCCAAAAGTCAGTTGATGACCTAGGAGCTTGGTTCAAAAAATGGCGCATCGATGTGAACCCGGAGAAGAGCTC